TGCAGCGCCGACTGAGGACTCCTCTCCGTCGTCGCCTCCTTCATTCGAGGACCTAATCACTGGTCAGTACTCTTTCTCTTGATAACGGCATGGTTCCATGATCTTTGTTTATTAACTGAAAGAGATTTCAGCCTGCATGAAGATAGATAGCTCAACTTCACTCATAACCTAAAATACCCCCGACGTGTCATAGAAAATGCCCAGGAGATTGCTGTTCAGTTTAAGATAAATTTTGGACCTTCTTACCTAGCTTGAATTAGGGTGACAAATTCTTGGATCAATCCGTCGGAGCAGAAATAAAATGGTACACCCGGGATTGTGAATTTGGAGACAATGGATTGTTCTGGGACGATAGAAATCTGCCCGTCAATGAGGAGGGATATCTTTGGTTATCCGGATGTATGCTGGTTCTGGATATGAGGATGTGATTCCCCATCATGGCTTTGTATCTTCTTGACCATAACCAAGATGCGAAGTGCACTAAACCTCGTGACCAACTACTTATACCCCGTCAATAATATAATTCACCAAATTAAATTTGTATTAATCTCGAGTCACAAAAACACACAACGTTTATCTTATTCATACACAATGTAATGATTGGTCATTTCATAGCTGGCAAAGTCCAAGCCTTGTTGTGCAGAACTTCTGTTAACAAGCCATATCTTCATTATGAAGAACTAATATTGTTTAGTTGCACATTTACTGTTGGGAATTTAACGCCCAAATCCCCTTTTGCAACAGAAACGCAGAATAGAGAACAGTACACCAAGTTTTAACGAGGTTCGGCAACTGCCTACGTCCTCGGGAGCCACACAGATAATTTCTTATTAATCAAACAAGAAATTACAAATCAAGAGCAAATCCCTAAACTGAGATTTCTCAAATGAACATTGTTGCTACAGTGTTAATAATTAAAGGGAATAAACCCCTTTCAAATCTCACTTGAGAATAATTAAACAACCCAGTTATAAAACCCTTCTTTAATTCTCTATTTCTCTCTCTTCTTTAATCCACTTCTTAATCTCTCCTCAAAACAATTTGAGAGCTGGAGATGAATGAAATCACTGCTGTGATTTAATTGGAAACGCGACTGCGTTTTGGGGCTTCGCCGCCAGAGAAATCGGACAAAGGGGGGAGAGAAGGAGCACTGAAACCCTAGGGCCAAAGGGGGTTTTATAGCCTGGATTTGGTGGGCTGGCGACAGCCTGTCGCCAGCGCTCGAACGGACGCGAGCGTCGCCAATGACGTGGTCATCGAGCTTCTGGACGCGATGGTCGGACCCCTGGACGCGATGGTCGGGGCGCTCAACGCGAGGGTCGCGTTCTCCGAGGGTCGCGTTCGTCCGAGGGTCGCGACTTCGACTGGGGTTTTGCCTGCGTCATTTCTGAGCTCATCGGAGCTCCTCGTCGCCGGCGGAGGTAGGTTTCCACCCTCAATTCTAACATTTACATCCAATATTAATTCATATTACAAATTGCAGTATGGATGCAGTCATGAACGGAAATATAAAATTCTATACACGAAAAGGGGAAAAATATCCCACCAATGGGAAAGATTTTAGAATAAAAGGGAGAATGATACGCTTAGATAAGATAATTCCACTTCTCTGAGGTTTTCAGTGATCTCTGAGCTTTTATATGCCAAAGTGCCAAATTAAAACACGAACCTAAAAACTGAGGAAGATAATGAGCTAAAACATGGAAATTGGAATTATTGGAAGCCTCGGGTGATTATTTTGTTGTTGAGTGTCTTCTTTGAATTAATAATACACATTGGAAAGAACAAATTGAATATGGAGAGTGGGAATTTTGTTTGCACAAAAATTAAGCAAAGAAGAAGACGTAGAAGAAACACTTCTTTTAGGCTCTTGTCATTTAAAACTTGAAAGCTACAAGGTGGATATAAACTTAATTCTTCTGATATCATGCCCTGTATGCTACTGATCCCTCCAAATGTGGAAGATTATAATAGCGAGAGAAGATCTTAGAAGCAAATTATGGGATTCTTGTTTTGATTGAAGAGCATTTAGAAACAAGATAACAAGCTCTACCTTGAAAATATGGACACTATCTTGAAATTACACCTGTTTTCAACCAAAAGAATGGTATTATGGGGAAAAAAAGACCACGGCTGTGGAATACGGCCTTGATTGCGACGTTTGCAGAAAATCTTGGACCAAATTGCTTGTGATGCATCTCAGTGGTTATTCTCTATGAATTACAGTAAGGTCATAATTTTTATTCCTTTTCCCATAACTAAAAAGTACCCTGGTGTGTATGTGACAATGAGAGGAGGAAATAAGGGAATCGACAAAAACATACCTCATTATAAAATGGTACATCTGGAAAGAGTTTAGAATAAAAGGGAGAATGATACGCTTAGATAAGATAATTCCACTTCTCTGAGGTTTTCAGTAATCTCTGAGCTTTTATATGCCAAAGTGCCAAATTAAAACACGAACCTAAAAACTGAGGAAGATAATGAGCTAAAACATGTAAATTGGAATTATTGGAAGCCTTGGGTGATAATTTTGTTGTTTAGTTTCTTCTTCGAATTAATAATACACATCGGAAAGAACAAAGTGATCATGGAGAGTGGGAATTTTGTTTGCAGAAAAAAATAAGCAAAGAAGAAGAAGAAGAAGAAGAAACACTTCTGCTAGGCTTTTGTCATGTAAAAGTTGAAAGTTACCAGGTGGAATGTAAACTTAATTATTCTGACATCATGCCTTCTATGCAACTGATCCCATCATATGTGCAAGATTATAATATAGGGAGAAGCTCTTAGAGGCGAATCCTGGGGTTCTTATTTTGATTGAAGAGCACTTGGAAACAAGGTAACAAGCTCTACCTTGAAGATATTGACACTATCTTGAAATTACAGTTGTTTTCGACCAAAAAGAATGGATATTATGGGGTGCAAAAAGAAATAGATGGCTGTGGAATGCGGTCCAGATTGTGTCCTCGCAGAAAATCACGTACCAAATTGCTTCTGATGCATCTCAATGGTATTTCTCTATGGAGTAAATCTATGAGTCAATAGGACTTTATGTCCTTGAAGTACAGAAAGATCTTTTTTTTTTCTTTTTTTACTATTCCCATAACTGAATACTACCCTAGTGGGTATGTGAAAATGAGAGGGAGAGGGAGTAAATAAGGCCAACAAAAACATACCTCATTATCTGGGATGCATGTCCATTATATTTTTTTTTGCGGATTCAAGCTTCTGAAATTTTAGGGCTTGATCTCTTTGGAGTACAACAGACTGAAGTTCTTTTAATCTTAGAAGGTCATGTCATGTGAGCGTATTTTCTGAATGAGAGGGGGACTAATTGTAAAGAGAACGAAGACCATTGCTTTTAATAAGTATATTACAAAAGACGATTATACTATTAATAACTATTAAACATCAGCCACCTTTGTACTAAGTACCTCTGCATTGGGACCCATCTGTAGGGTAAGGTCTTCAAGTCTTCTTAATCATCCTGACAAGGCCCATATCCTCTGTCATAGGTTTCTTGACGTTTTCAGCTTTTCTTGAACAGAAAGCAGGTGATATCTTTCACTAGTTTCTGAATAATCAGTTTCTTATTAGTACAAGGTTTATTAGTCACACCAACTACCATCTTTCTATTATTCTGCAAACGAACCAATGCCATGTCCTTTCCCTTAAATTATCAGTCATTATTGATATTTAAACGTTGGTGGCATCAAGAACTAGAATAAAGCTATCACTTGCTTCATAATCTTACAAAATCCATCGCTAATACCTTTTGGCATTGGCTGTAAGGTCCTTCCCTTTGTTTCAAATCTGCAGCTTAACCACCTCTATCATGAAATTTTGACAGTTGACTGGAATCTTTGGCGAGTTCGGTGACACCAATTTTAAGTACATTCTACACTTGGTGGATTTGAGCTGTATGCTTCGATATGAATTGAGTTGCATGCGACCAATTTTTTTCTTCTCCGCAAAGTGTACCAGTTTATGTTAGTGGAAGCATCTCTTAAAATATTGTGGTGTGGTAACTGTTACAATGTAGGACATTAATCTTCTGAATTTGCACATCTATAATGCATCCTGTGGATATAGTTCGTCAGCATAATAGATCTTATTGGCAAATTTTTTTAGGTGGCTACGATCCCCAATGCACTCTTTCAGAAAATATATACCCAATTGTTTATAATGGGCCCTCTTGACAACTGATCTGTTCCTTCATGCTGAGACTTTTCAGCAATAAGGAAATCCTGCCTACTTCTCAAGCTAATAGTATTCATGGACCTGAGGGAGCTTGAATTTGTAAATGATCTTTAGCAGATTTAGCGTTCAAAGAAACCTATACGAGTTGGTATCTAGCAAATCTATTTCTTACACCATCTTGGTGAATTGAATGGCAAGAAAAAGTCATCAATTCAATATTTCTGAGAGTTATCTTTGGCTTTATGCTTAGGTCATGGTTTCCTAAACTCTGAGTTTGTGATTGAATTTGACGTTTTCTCTGTATAATACGTTTTTTCTGTATAAGGAGTTCATAAATATTTCACGACTACCTTAGAGAAAGTGTGGGATATATGAACCCCCTAGATTCTGTTGAGTCGTTACAAGCAAATGTTTTTTTCCCAATAGGATAAGCTATTTATACTACTAGCATCAGAATAAAATGTAAATGACAACTCCCATTTGAGGGATCAAACTCTGCTTCAGCTAATGGCAAAAGTTTTTCAAAAAGTAGGTTGAATTTACATCTCGCGGTATATTTTTCTGATATTGTTATCTGTTGCCTGATACAGAAGCGACAAATTTCAGTGGCGACAATGAAAATGAGGTCAGTTCTTTTTAAGATTTAGAATCTTCCTGTTACGATGACAAAATATTTCCCTCTTACATTATTTGTAAAATAATATTGTTTACATTTTTTTCGCTTGTTTTGAAGTCATTGGAAGTGAAGGCCCAGAAAGCACTGGAATGCCCTTGTGTCGCAGACTTAAGAAAGGGTCCTTGTGGAAATCAATTTTCAGAGGCATTTGTCTGTTTTATAAAGAGCACTGCCAAGGAGAAGGTAATCATGATCTCTAAAGCTGGTAAATTCTGGATTTAACTCGCTTCAGCTTCTATATATTTCTTGCTTTGGATTGCCAACTTTTGTTGCTAGTGGGGCTTTGCTGTAATTGTTTATCTGTTCAATTTACCTTCCAAATCCTTTGTTACGAATGGGCTGACAGTGATTTACCCTCTTGATAAACCTTCTTTTCTTTTACAAACTCCCTATGGGGATAGGAGATTGAGATTTGGCATCTTTCTCAGGTAATAACTGGGTTAGCCTTAAATTCTAATACTAGACCCTCTCACTGGCTGATACAGCAGTGAGTGGTTAGAGTTGCTGACCTGCACTTCTAATTTATTTGGATCTTCTCAATACCATAAGTTGTGGGGAAAAAAAATGTTTCTCATCATATTTTGACATCAAATTATTTCCTAGAAGGGTTGAAGTACTTCAATCAATTATATTTTTAGATGGTTTTCTCCTTGGAGGTTATGTCTCCTAATGTTCCCATAGAATTACTGAATAGACACACGAAGTCTATTTGATATACTCCAGTTAATATCGTTGTTATGTATTCGTTGCCCATATTTAATTCACAAAGGTAAGATGTTTGGAAGTTCAGTTGGTTTCGGGTTGAAGTTGCTACCTGCACAGAGGCATTACCAATTCAGGATTCTTCTTTTGCTTCATTGAGTGAAATGTTTTGTTTCGTCCAATATTTTTTCTATAATCCAAAAGTTCTTTAATGTTTTATAATCCAAAAATTCTTTGGTAAATGCTGTTTTGCTGCTTTATGGCGAGGATTGATTGGACTTGGCTCAATATGGCATTTTGTTATACCCTTAATTAACTTCTGTTAGAGAGCTGTTCTTTCATTTTAACCCTTGTTTTCTTTTCACCGAGAGGCTAATTGTTTTACATCCACTGCCATTGCAGGGATCGGACTGTGTTAGCCCCTTTATTGCATTGCAGAACTGCATCAAAGCGAATCCCGATGCATTTTCTAAGGATATAATAGAAGATAAAACTGAAGATGAAGAAGTTCAAGACTACAAAATAATACCCCCATCATGGTCTCGAGAACCCAAGCCAAAAGGCGTCTCGAAGCTATAAGCACTGTTACTTCATATTCAGTATTTCAAGCATTTGGGATTTTAGCCTATATTCATACAGTTTATAATGTGGGAGTTGAGTATACTCTTAAATTTGGTAGACCAATTACACGTCTGCGAAGCCGAAAAAATTGGAGAAAATTGTTCAACATACGATATGAGAATTGAATTGTATGGTCACTGAACATGTACGAGCACCGGCGAGAGGAAAAAAGAATTTCAAGAGATTTCTGGCACTCCTGCATGTCAAAATTATCTTTCTTTGCATAAAATAGTTTTGCACCAGAAAACACCAGAAAAATTCTTTGGTTGCTAGAACTTTTTTGGTTGACGGTGCATTTAATGTGTAGGAAGAAGTAAACTTAGTTTAAATCTATCTAATTGTTAGTAGAATTTATCAAACTTTTTTTGATGCCATTGATAATCATTTTGAGAAGATATTCTTCTATGCTTAAAACTATGGAACCATCAACTGGGCATGTGAATCGTCACTAGGAAAAAAAACAATTTAATGATCTGATTGTAAAGGCAAAGGATACATAAATATACCAATTTATTATTCATAAACCTGGAAATCTCTAAACTCATGCAATAACATAAGGTAAAACATTCATATGTAGCTCACAATATCCAGTATCTGCACTATATCACCCCTTTTCTTTATGCTGGCGCTTCACATATCCACCTTCACTTCCTCCTCACAACTTGTTCCACTGATCTCATACTCGATATGCTCAGCTCGGCCAAATCGTCCAGCGGTAGCCAGCATCTTCTCTTGAGCCTTAGGTTTCTGGTTCTTCGGGTTCTTGTCGCGGAACATATTTTGAAGATTAGGGAAGTGAGGTCCTTCGCACATGCTCGTTTTCTTCTCCATATTGGTGATATACGCGCAATAGTCGCCTGAGCTCTGGCCGAGGTGTCGCGTCTGATGAGGAGCCATCACTGATCTTCTCTTTGTGTAAAAATGGTGGATTGAGAGTTATGGGGAGTTTGGGTCTCTTTTTATAGAAGACGGAGGGGAGAATATATTCACCGAAATGATATTTATATCGATATGGAGCAACTGCTGCCGTTCCTTCGGTAAAGAGGTTCTGATTTTTGACAGAGAATCTGTTTAGTGGTAAGGAGTAGGTGATAGTTCGTTATAAAGTTGTGGAAATGCTTCAAGTTGAAAAAAAGTTTTTGGCAACATATAGAGCATATCCTCATTGAAGGACTGCGAGTTTGGAAGTTGTCTTTGTTGGAGCAAAATTTTTTTAGAGGCATTTGGAAAAGCAAATCTGGGGTTCACATTCACCTACAAGTATGCCTGCACATAAGAATTTGGCCGTATGGACAACTGTCCCAGTATAGAATTCTAAATAATCAGGTTAATTGAGAATAGACCCCCTTTAGTACCATCCACTTGTGGATAGGCCCCCTTAGTTGTATTGGTGCGGAGACACCCTAATGATATTTGCCCCAGTGCGGCTAGGACCGCAAGGGGTTTATCCACCTCTACCAAGCTTCCCATTACATGATAGATTGTAAATTGATGGTTTAAGATAAGATGGATTAATAAAAATATTTCAAAATTTGTTCATTGTAAAATTACACGGGCTGTGGAAGTTCTCTCTTCTTCCGTAATTTCGTATGTTTGTGAGTGCTGGTGGTTTTCCTGAGCTCAAAGAAACTACATTTAGATTTGTGATGGGGTCTATCTGCAAGTACTTGTACTGGTTTGTGATTATTTTTGTAATGCTAAGAGATTGATGTAAGATGATGTTGTTATTTATTTATTGTTCTATAGGATGAAAGGTTACCAAAGAGGAAAGAGAACCGTGGTTTAGTTGTACTTAGATCAAAATGGAATAAAATGTATTGTGTCTATTTAGTGTTCAATTTTGGCATAATTTATTGTGATTGTATGTGAAATGTATTGTGGCTGTCATGTGAATATGTACAAGTTCATTCAAATAGAACTTGATGTGCATAATAAACTGATAATTATTTATAAATTATGTGTATCAAAACCTGAATATTATGGTACATAATATGTACATAATCTTGAGGTTATTGTGATAATCTTCAAGTTACGATACACTATTAAATCTCATAATATGTTAACTTTCACTGTTACATGTTAACTTTTATAATAATATGTTAACTTTCTTCATAAATTATGTTAACTTTCATCATTATATGTTAACTCTCCTCATAACATGTTAACTTTCAGCTGAACATGTTAACTTTCATCATAATATCTTAACTTTCACTGTTACATGTTAATTTTCATAATAATATGTTAACTTTCTTCATAACAAGTCTTTTTGAACTAAATTTCGATGTGTTTGAAAGAGTAAAAGTCCCTCAAGATGATTTATCATTGATATATAAATCATTGATATATACAAACCATAAGTGCGTGAATCCATGGAAAGCTTAAACAAGTACCTAAAAATCAGAATTCTCCTAACTCGTGCATTTTATCAAACGGATAACATTAACAACAACAAACCCAAACACGTACCTAAAAATCAACAAACTTCAATCTCTAAACAAAGTTCTATATTAAAACCCGCATCAGTTGGAAATCTAAGTCAGACCACAAACACAAAAGTAAACACAACACGGAATTACAAGCTGCACATAACAATGTTCTACAAAAGTCTTGACAACCTACATTGCTCTACCAAAATTATTATCTAATAAGCCATTTCGGTTCCAATCACCAATTGCTTTGTTACAATTAGCTTGATTGTGACCTTCAGAGGAGGAGGCAGATGATTCTCAAAGAGCCTCCTGTCTTAATCCTCACCCGCCAAGGACTCGGCATGGTACCTCTTCGCTCTCCCCTCTCTCCTCTCCACCGACATCCTCCCTCCTTAACTCTTCCTCATTTAACAATGCTAGCTTTCACAAGCTAACCGGTAAATAACATTTGGACAAGGGGTATTAGACAACTAATGGTATACATGTCACAAAAAGCTTTAGCTCTTTATCATTACAAGACCCATGTCATGTCCGCTGTTGCAAACTAAAAATATTGCCTAAAACCTGAACATATTAATTTTCACGTGAGCATGTTAACTCTCATTTGTATATGTTAACTTTCAGGTGTATATGTTAACTTTCTTATGAATATGTTATATTTCATCTCTTCACGCTAACTATCAGCTGAATATGTTAATTTTTAGCATAATATGTTAACTTTCACTGTTACATGTCATCTTCTTTATAACATGATAACATGCAACTGAATATTAGCATAATATGTTAACTTTCACTGTTACATGTCATCTTCTTTATAACATGATAACATGCAACTGAATATGTTAACTTGTCAAATGTACATGTTAGCTCATGTCATCTTCTTTATAACATGATAACATGCAACTGAATATGTTAACTTGTCAAATGTACATGTTAGCTGCACTAACCTCAAGATTATGTACATATTCACGTGACAGCCATAATACATTTCACATACAATCACAATAAATTACACCAAAATTGATCACTAAATAGACACAATACACTTCATTAAATTTTGATCTAAGTACAACCAAACCACAAGAACACCTAGTATAATCAACTGAACAAAAAAACATGACACATTATAAACAATTCTGGAGAAACTACACAAGAATAAAGAGTACAAATAGTCCTATTTTAAAAATTAACATCTTTTTCATCTTTTCTTCTGCAGCTCACCCATCAAGTTCATTTCTTCTCTTCTCATTTTCACAATCTCATCCAAGTAATAACAAGCTTCATGTTCTTGTTTATTCAACTTAAACTCTTCGTATTCCCCTTATTCTTTAACCCTTAATCTACGCCTAAACTCCTCCATCCACTGCAATAGGATAATGTATGCTGATGCCAAGTGAAAACCATGAAAATCCAACTTTCCTTCTGAACCAGACCACATCAATTTCTCAAGCAAGACTGATGCGCCAGCCAATTCCTTAACCAGCAAAGCCTCCTCATCATTCAACATTTCGAGTAGGTCATCCGTTGAAAGGGGAAGAGTCCTTAAATCCTTAACCATCAAAACTACACTAGGATAATAATTCAACACGGAGTTGCAAGTTCGAACAGAATAACCAATCCCCAACACCCTCATATTTCTAATCCAAGTAACCATTTTCGCTAAATTTCCATAGTCACTATAACAAGAGAGCACCAAATTCGTACAAACCGTATCAATTCCAATTTCAGCATCCTCCATCCTCCCAATCACCCTCCTCATCTCCTTAAACGACCCCAACCGTCCATACCCTTGAATCACCACTCTATACTCAAACCCCGACGGTTTAAACCCCAAGTGACCCATTTTATCAAGCACATTCTCTACATCCTCAACTATATCCACCAAGCTCAATCCTCTGACCATACACTCAAACACCCTTTTCCCAACAAAACTCGTATCTTTAATCCAACCACAACATTCCAAAACAAATTCTTTCAATCCTCTGCCTGACGTAGCAACAATGAGGTCACAAGTAGAGGGAGACCCTAAGTAGGAGACGATGGTGGAGCATTAGCCGGCGATTGAGAGGAGGATGGAGAAGGAGTGAGTGATGTTGGAGAGGGTCTGGTCGAAGTAGAGGGCGACAGTGGAGGATCACCACTGGGAGAAGGAGGGGGAGGGGGAGGAGATTAAGAGAAGGAGGAGGGGGAAGATATCGAAAGGAGGAGGAGAAAGCCACAGAGGAGGAGGAGGAGGAGAAGAAGAAGAAGATAAGGGAAGGAGTATTTTTAGAATGTTTTGTGATGAATTCCTGGGAAAGTGTGAAAAGGGAGTTGAACACATCTTTTGGGGTTTTTGGGGTTAAAGAGTAAGGGAAAATATTGAGGGGCTGAGTCACATCCTCTTTATTTTTTGGGGCCTAGACACATTTTCACCTTAAACTTAACAACTATCCAATTATTTTTAACTTCACCAATTTCAAAAGTTTTACTATGATTGTTCACTTATAAATTCATACTTTTATCTCCATTTACTTTTAAATTCACGCGTTTTCAAAATTACTATTGGACTGAAATACAAAGTGGTTACGTTTTCATCTTTTCACACCAATATTGTTGTGTTGGAATTGTAGATGAATTTTTGCCTATACACCAAAGTCTTAATCTTGTTTTGGGGTTATAAATGCATCAACACCGACCCCCACCCCCCAAACTGCAAGGATTTTTTTGCCAATATAAACGCAAAACTTACAGCCATCTACTTTTAAACCCATTTGCTTTTAAAATCTCTCCAACAATCCAAAATACACTATTGAATTAATTTAAACCACTTTGTATTCAGCAAATTGATATACAATATAAGTTGCTAATTTTATTATTGTTAGCTCTATTTTTGTTCGAATCAATTAGATAAAATGTATTTTTAAACCAGATATGCGAGTTGGCATTATTTTTGTCTCTTTTCATACTAATATTGCGACATTATAAATTGCAGATGGGCTTTCTACCTGTAAACCAAACATTACCCCTATTTCTTTTTATACTCATTTTCTTCTAACATTACTCTTAGACACTAAATACTCCATCCAATTAAATTTAAATCTACTTTGAATTTACAGTGTGATATTCAGTGTAAGTTGTTATATTTTTATGGCAACTTGTTTTTGTTGTAAATGGTCAGAAACACGTGATTTTAAACCAAATACTTAAATCATTATTTTTTTAGCTTTTCCGTACTAATGTTGCAACAGCATGCTAGTCAATTTTGCTTGCGTATACTAAAGTTAACTAGGATAAATGGTGCTTAGCTATAGTACATCCTAGTTAAATTAATTATGCTAATATGTTGTAGGCATCTAAAAATGCTTATAGGTGTCCGCACACAGCTCAAGACAAAGAGAAGGCGATGAACGCCATTATCCAAGTCGAAGGGGATTGTCCGAGTCAAAGAGGATCATCTGACGCCAATAAGCGCATGAAGCGAATCGGCAAAACGTTGATGACGTGGCGACGAACCACCAGAACCACCACCAAGTGGCCCGCACGCTCATCAGCCAGCTCCAAGTGGCCCGTGCGCTCATCAGCCAACTCCGAATGGGCCGTACGCTCATCGGCTAGCTCCAAGTGGCCAACACGTTCACCGGTCACCTCCAATTGACCCGCGCACTCATCAGCCAGTTCCAAGTGGTCCGCGTACTCATCGGCCATCGTCAAGCGATCCGCGCATTCACAAAACACGCATAACGAACCGAGGAAGCGTACCAGTCAGCGAAACAATGAAATACGCGTAAATGACGGAACAAGTCAAAGCCTGGAAAACCAAGAAAGCCCCTGGTGGCCGAGTCACGTCAAAACGACCCGGCCAGGCCAGTGGCTCCCCCCCCGGGGGCTGAGCCACCAAATGGTGGCTCGGCGGCCGAGCCACCAAGTGGCGATTTGGCCAGTTCCAATCCAAAACCAATTTTTTGGTTTTCGCGGATTCTTTCGGGATTTGTTTGTTCATGAGCATCCTAACTGATCTAATACTATGGTTAAACAATTATTAACTGAAGATAAGGAGGAATCCCTCGTTTTGATCCAAAAACCCCTCAACCGAAGCCTATAAATACGAGCTCGGGTGCTCATTTCTCGGGGGCGGGAAATCAAGAGGGCGATGCGCTGTCGCATTGAAGAGTGGAGCCACGAATTTACAGCAAGGGTTAGCAGATCTTGGCGAATTCTTGTGCATAAAGAGTGGAGTTCGATAGATCTGAGACTCATCCCTTATTCCTCCGGATTTAAGCTTAGTTTTAAATCTCGAGAAGAGTCGTGATCTCGCTTGGTCGGGATAATCACTGCAGCGATTACTTCCTTCGTGAAGTAAGAGCTTTGATCAACTTAATCCGTCGACCGGATCTGATCCGTGGCGGTCCACGGATATTAACGTCCCCGGCACAGGTGAAGTTCCCACGCAAGCAGCGGGTGATAAACGTCTGTTACGCTGTTTGACAAGAGTTGTACTTTTTGTATTTTCATTGTGTAAGGAGATCTTATAATTTTCTCATTCATTTGAGTTTATTGTAACGACCAAAGTTATAATAGATTCGATGGCAATGAAAACAATGACTTTTGACCTAAACACGCTGGCGACCACAGTGGGAACCAACAGCTTTGCTGCTGAAGCTGTCGTGCCACAACCACGGATCCATATCTCGGTTGATGAAGAAGTCGAGTGCGAATTTGACAAACTGAAGTTTGAGGAGTATCTGTCGTCATTCTCCTCCAGATCCTCCGCCCTCGCAAACGCATGAAGATCAAGGCCTCCGTTGCTACTGCCATCTCGCCTTGCAACGCCCCTCCAGCCTCCAACAAAGCCGGATCTGCAGATCTGGACTCCTCCTCAATCAATAAGATAGCCATTGTAGCCGCGCCAACCCTATCAAAGAGGGCACGCCAAAGGTAGCGCCAACGACTTGCGTGCCGACTTGCTAAAGCTTTGGAGCCAGTTGACGGGATTCGCTACGAAGTGGATCTGAAGTCTAAAAGATGCCAACCCCCTCAACAGCAAGCAAATGACCTCTTCTCCAAACCAACAACGAATGAATGGATCCAAGTAAAACAGACCCGCTCGACCCTCGAGGAGCGCTTTCAGAAGCGTCGCGCCTTGATTGTGCACGCACGGATTCTTGTGCAAAAAACGCAGAAGTTGAAGCAAAAAGAGGTGATCAGGAAGCCACTGAATCCGCATCAAGTCTGGAAACCAAAGTCCGAAACGGCATCGACAAAAAGTCAAACAGCGCACGGAACTGCTGGAATGCGCGAACCACCATCTGGTGGCTCGGCCAAAACCGAGTCACGAAATGGTGGCTCGGCCAAAACCGAGCCACCAAGTGGTGGTTCGTGCCGGTTCGTGCCCGGTTCGGTTTGGTTCATACCCGGTTCGGTTTGGTTCACACTCGGTTCATCTCCCGCAGTCTCGTTTAAGCTTCGACAGCCCCTGTTTCTGTCCTGATGAATCACACACCTCCGGCAAAGCCCCGTGGCAGTGTGGACTTGTCCCGATTCAAGATGAGGATGGTGGATCTTTTGGGTCCTTTGCACGAGGATCGAGGAAAATTTTTGATCAAAGAACGTTTGGGTCCGGTGTCTGAACCCCGAGACACTACTCGAGTTGGGGGTCGCACACACCCTCACAACAATTCAGAGCCTTTTCATAATAGGAAAACTCCTGTAACTGACCGTCTTGGACTACGGGTCAGTGTCCAAGAGCCCGTTAAAGTCCCACGTTCACGAAAGCGTGGCTCTAAACGTGTGATTCTTGAGAACACTATTAAGGCAATAAGTCCTTAGAAGGAAACGTGTTCGTCAGACGACAGCGTTATACCTGAGAAGTCGTGCCAACACACAATAGATAACTTCGGTCCTCATGCCGATGAGTTGTACTATCGGGCTTGGGGTACGAACAGATCTCGAAAGAGATATTCCCGGGAGATGTACTTTCATTATCCGTGTACCAAAATTATCAGGATAGTATTATCAGCCTGTAGCTACCCCAAAACTATTCTACAGAGGGTCTCGGTATTTGAAAGGAACTCCACCAGAATGTCTAAGTCCAAGCTAAGGCGTTTCTATAGAAAAAGATCAGCTACGCAAGATGATGAACTCCTAAAGGTCACCATCAATATGGTCGATAAGGAGAAGTCAACGCGAAGTTTCAATCCCCAATATTTTTTAGACATATCCTAATGTATAACTCAGTTACGCACGGGAACTACTAGGCGTAGGGACTATCAGAGGATGAATAGCGGATTATCCTCGGATGATGAAGCATCAGATGCGAACTCTGCCATCGTTTCTGATAATACGGTGTCCATCATAGGACAATCCCGTGAGGCGTTTATGGTCAACACCGAGCAAATGGCCAAAATCATCAAGGATGCATTGGCTAAGTAAAAAGAAAACTTTAAGTTCGAAATGGAAATGGCTACGCTGCGAATGAGGGAAGAGCATGACCAACAGATCCGAGCCTTGTCGAATCAGATAGGTGAATCCAGTCGTTTGCAATAATGTTAGCCAAGCAGCTAGCGATTCAGATATGAATGAACACCTTAATGTTCATAATCCTCCCGTTGACCAGAACGTTAGGGGTGGCCCCACTAAAAACAACGACGCTGGGGGTGGTCCCACCGAAGATGATAATGTCGGGGGTGGCAACGTTGTTCCTCTTAGAAATCGTCCAAAGCATTATACAGACGAGGACGAGAAGATGAAAGACCTCGAGAGCAAAATCGACGCTCTAATGTCTGCTCAAGAGGTTAAGAAGACCGGTATTTCGTGTCCCTATCAAGAGAGTGAGATTCAATAGCATACCCGGCGAAGTTCAACCTGATCAACTTCACGTCATTCGACGGGAAGGGTTCGCCCACTCAACATCTGATCTATTTC